TTTTATGTTATGAATGGACATCTCATGGCCAAGGTAAGACATTGTGCTTTGGTTCTTTCTACCTCTTCTGAAGCCAAATCTTTATTTTTCTTTTTTGGGGGGGGGAACAAAAAAAAATCTTTCGTACTCTCTATTTGTATTGAACTAAGATTGAATGCTCTAAGCCCAAACATTATTAGTTGAACAACTTTTTGGACTTATCAGCTGATCTCAAAAATTTAAACTCAAGTTATTAGTATCATGTGACTTGAGTCCTTATATGGTATTTAATAATCATATATTTTTTCTATATGAGATTGGAATATCACAATCTGCACTATTTAAATTTGATGTCCCTATCAAGGTTGTATATCACAGTCTCATCATAATTCAAAGGTCCACAAAATGATTGTACCAGCTCAATGTTATTGAGCTGGCACATAGTTTGATATCATTGTTAAAGTGTAGGGTTCAAATATTAACGACCCAACAACTTTTTAGAACCTAGCTACCGGTCTCAAATACTGAAACTTAAATTATTGATAGTATGTGATTAAAACGCTTATATGCAACACAACAATCATATATTCTTAATACGACATTGGAGTATCAAAAAGATGGTTCTTTCACACTTCAATCAATCTCTTGCACAAGTAGTGTTGTGTGACATTTGCAATGTGCATGTCATGAGTAGGCCAAGTTGTAGCCACTGTCATGCATGGCAAAATGTATTAGTCACTTTTTTTTCAATAAAAAATGTATTTGTCATATTGTTGTCACGTCAATCCTTGAGTGGTTCACATATCTTTAACAGATTTAGGTGCCAAAAAGACCAATGAGTCTCTTCTCTATAAATTTTTAGTTACCAAAGCAGTTAGTTTTTCTAAAAATTGAAGCAAGCATCATAAATTTGGCAATCAACATGGAAAATCTATTTAAAGATTTGGGTCCTGAAGCAGAATGATTAAAGAAGTGCATAAATCGAGTTTGTTTCCAAATAGCAATAATCAAGAATTTTTGGAAAGTGGAGAAATACAGTGGATGAGCGCGCACTGGTGTCATCAATTTCTTTGCTCTTTCATGGTGATACAAACTGAATTAACTAGCAAATCAGGCTGTGGTTCTCTTTTTAGGTCTTGTTTTTAAAAGTCATGTTAAAGAATTCTGCATTGATGAATTGGATCAATTTATGACTTTTCCTTCTTGTAATAGTCAGTCAAAGGGAAACTTTATATTCTTCATTTTATCCTTCCTCCTTTTCCGTGTTTGCTAAATTTTGTGATTAGTATGGTAATTAAATCGAGTTGTTTTGTGCAGCTTTGCTTCTTACGACAATTCAAGAGCTCTATACAGAAGTCAGACTACCTGGCATTGCGTTTGGGTTTCATCACTGTGGGTATCTTTGTCATATCACATTTTTATGCTATTTCTTATTTCCTTCCTCTAACTGGGTTCATCATGATAGATACTATTATTTTTTAATGAATATTAGTGAAT